CAGAATGCCCCTGTGACCCCCCCAGAATGTCCCTGGGACCCCCCCCAGAATGTCCCTGGGACCCCCCAAAACGTCCCTGGGACCCCCCCAAAACATCTGCAAAAAATTCCCTTTGCCCCCCCCTCCAATGTCCCCCCTTGGGACCCCCCCCAAATTGTCCTTGTGTCCCCTCAGATGTCCCCCCCCCCTCCCCAAAATGTCCCTGTGTCCCCCCAAATGTCCCCGTGTTCCTCTCAAAGGTCCCCCGAATGTCCCCGGGGGTCTCTGGGGGGGTTTATTGGGGGGGTCGTGTACAAGGTGGGGGGGGGACACACACACATAAATAAGGGGACACCGAGGGGGGTGACGGTGACACCGAGGGGGGTGATGGTGACACCGGGGGGGGTGACACCACTGAGGGTGACACCTTGGGGTGGCGGTGACACCGGGGGTGACACCGGGGTGTGGCTGTGTTTTGTGGTGGGGGGGACCTGGGGGACACCGGGGGGGGGGGGTCGCTGGTGTCCCCACTGCCCCTGTGGGGTGTCCCCTGTCCCTCCCCCCGGTGTCCCCTCCCCGGGGGGCTCAGGCGGGGGGGGGTCCCGTGCCCCCCACCCCCACTGCGGCCTCTTCCTCCTCTTCCTCCTCCTCGGCGGGACCGGGGGCTGGCAGGGCTGGGGGGGACAGCGCTGTCACCTCCTGTCACCTCCTGTCACCTCCCTGCCCTGTCACCGGTCCCCTCCCGGTGTCCCCAAAGCCTCCAGCAGCACCCAGGGTCTCAGTGTCCCCAGGTGCCACCCACCAGTGTCCCCATGTGCCCATCACACCCACCCAGTGTCCCCCCCACACCCCCCCAGTGTCCCCATGTCCCCAGCATCTCCACACCCTCCATGTCACTTGTCACCGGGGGTGTCCCTGCAGGTGGCACTGTGTCCCCAATGTCCCCTCTGCCCCCCCGTCCTTCATGTCCCCAATGTCCCCCTGTCCCCGCTCACCGGGGGTGTCCCTGCGGGTGTCACTGTATCCCCAATGTCCCTCTGTCCCCCCGTCCCCGCTCACCGGGGGTGTCCCTGCGGGTGTCACTGTGTCCCCTGTGTCCCCAATGTCCCCGCTCACCGGGGGTGTCCCTGCGGGTGTCACTGTGTCCCCAATGTCCCCCTGTCCCCAATGTCCCCGCTCACCGGGGGTGTCCCCGCCGTGTCCCCGCTGTCCCCGCAGGGTGTCGGGGTGCGCGGCCAGCGCGTGCCGCCGGATGTCGCCGAGGTGCAGCGAGGGCAGGGGACAGGAGCACAGGAGGCAGCGCAGGCGGTGGCCCCCGGCCTCCAGGTCCAGCAGCAGCTCCGCCCGCAGCCACCCCCGCAGCGAGTCCCCGGCCACCGCCCCCGGCCACGCCTTGGTGGCCCCCGGTGACACCTTGGTGGCCCCCGGTGACACCTTGGTGGCCCCCGGTGACACCTTGGTGGCCCTTGGGGACGGGGGACGGGGCCCTGCGGGGAGGGAACAGCGCGGTCAGCGAGGGGGGGTCGGGGACAGA